TTGGTACACAGACACCCCGAACAATATCTCCACAAGAGCCGTTTTACTCGGTATTTACAGTACTTTCGTGATGGCGGACCCTCTTATATGATGATGTTTGATGATGGTGATGATGATGCATGATGAAGGATGATGAAGGATGAATGATGGATGATGATGATCGAGGATGGTGGTGGATTGATGCGCCAGGTGGTTGGTAGGGGGCGGGGGTGGCTAGTAGTAGTAGTAGTAGTGGTAGAGTAGTAGTAGTAGTAGTAGTAGTAGTAGGAGGAGCAGCAGCAGCAGTAGCAGTAGTAGTAGTAGTAGTAGTAGTACTTAGCAGTCGTCGTCGTTATGGTCGTCGTCGTCGTCGTAGGAGTAGTAGAGGTTGTAATAAGTAGGTGCGAATTACTATCTGCGTGAGAAATTCCGACGAGCATGATAGCAGTGAAACCAATCATAACCGTGGTAACTATAACAGTGGCAGGATCCCTTTGTGCCGCAATAAAATTGCTGTGGGGCTGTTTGAGAAGCAGGTATGCCGATTGTCATGCAGCGCTGCACCTGCCCGGTCTGTAGACCTGCGGGTGTCAGTGTATGGTTTAGTGGGTTGAGTGTCTCACAAATTAAGCGCTTCGCCGAGAGGCGCAAAAGGCAGCGACCAGGTTCAAGAGTTGAGCCATCTTCAGTGACCACACAGGCCTCGGGCGGGAGCGTGACATGCACCCGATAATCAACAGCATGGACAAATCGGATTAAGAAATCTGTAGAGAAGGTGTTTGAAAGGTTGGATGTATTCGGTTCAGACCGTTCGATGCTGGTGCAGCTGCGAAGTTCACCTTCCCGTCTGGAAATATCGTGCTCACCCTGAACGCCGAGCTCAAACAAGCAAGCCTTTGTGCAATGACTTCACGAGCCTGACAAAAATCCAGGCTTGGCTGGGCAAATTGTCACAGCAGAGCCCCACAGCAGTCACACAGCACTTTTTCTGGACGGACTTGCGATCGGAGCAGCGTCCGGACACCTCTGCTTCAATGCGGTGCTACTGCTACTCGTTTGCAGACTGGCCCATGCCGATCTTGACCGTGCGAACGCGGACTGCTTTCAGCTGATCGCCGTGCATGCTTGGATGCGAATGGCATGGAGGCATCTCCAGCTTACACGTGGGAGTCACTCCTTGCGGCTTGCGGTGGCTGCAGCTGCTGCTTCACTGGCAATCCTCAGCGGGATGCAGATCGGATTGTCCGAGTTAAAATTGATCAACATCAAGTGCTTCTGCTCGGCATTCCAGCGATTGTTGCGCGAAGTGCGGGCTATGAGCTCCTATTAGCATGATGCCAGGAGACTGCTCCAGCCATGTGCGGTGAGGCAGCAGCACCAACCATGACTCGGGCAGTGCCTGGCCAGAGTGGTCGCTCTGAATAAGAGTAGAAGCCGGGAAGTTGGAACATCATTATCCTCATGCACTTAAGGTAAGGTATAGGGAATCCCAGCATTTATCATACCTAAATCCCTGTTCCAACTGTCTGGGACTCACTATAGAAGGTGTGCTTTCCTAAGATCGGAGACAAAAATCCACCATTCACTCCCCTATCCAACTTGCTTGCTTGGGCGGGGTGTGGGTTCCAACTCTCTATCTCTCTCTGCTTTGGACCGAACCGGGCGAAACACGTTGCAGGCCCTGACAGACAGATTTTGAAGTTGTGCCTCTGCTTGTCGCGCCGGCTTTGTTGGTTTAGGGTAGAGGGTTTAGGGTTATCTATCGGCTACAAAATTGCAGTTTGCCACCTCCATTAATACACAGTCTTTTCTAGACCCTTCAACACCCTGGAAGTCCTGCGTCGTAAAAACCGTCCAAAAGCAAATCCCCAATTGGACCGCCCAAAATGAAACCTAATCTTCCAAACCCTCGCAGCCAGTCCAAGAATTCTGGAAACCCCGAACCTGAAAGCCCAAAGACTCGCGGAGGCACATGACAAATCCTCACCCAACCCCCGCAAAACTTTGATAGCCTGAGAAGCAGAGCTTGGCACCCCAAACCTCTCGAATCCTGTACCCTTTATCCCCCAAATCTGAAGCCCCCCTAAACCCTAAACCCCTGTGCAAAACCGGAAAAAAGCGGATGCAGAAAAACTTTGCTCTTTCGGCCTTAGCTCCAAATGCGCAACTGAGCCTGGGCTCAAGTTGAAGCTCAGAAGTCCCGGATTTAGGGGCTTAGGGGTCTAGGATTTAAGGGGTTTAGGGGCCTAGGATTTAGGGGCTTAGGGTCTAGGATTTAGGGGTTTTCTAGGATTGTCTGTGATTTAGGGGTAGACTTTGGGGTTTAGCTTCTTGGAGGGTTTAGGGTCCTGTCCGATTGGTTTAGGGCCGTGGGAGGAAGGAGCCAAGGGGAGAGAAGCCGCGTTCACAAGCGATCCATAAAACGTAAGGTGTGGATGCTATAATTATATAACTATATATAACTCACTACATAGTGCACGCAAGCTTGAATAAACATACATACTTTGGCGAAAACATCAATCAGCGAGCGATCAGTGAAACGAACGTCGTTCGTGTGACATCCTGCTGCACTCCACCGCTCCTACAGCCTGTCTGCCCTGTTCCCCTAAGGCACGTGCAGTGCTCCGGCCACCGCAGCATTGGTGTCCGCATCCCCGGCGGCCATGGTCAAGAAGTGGATAGCTTGGCAGAACCTTGGTTCTGCGGAGCCGTGCTGCTGTTTAGGGTTTGGGGTTTAGGGTTAGGGTGTTCCATCAGATTTGTGGCAAAGGGGTTAGGATCTATACAACTGTACCAGCACCTTCTATTATCAAACACGTGCGAAATACCGTAACAAATGCACATACGTATGCACGTGTGTGCATTCTCTATGCTATACTACATGTTGTTTGTATGAACAGATGTATACATATGTATACATATATTTATATGTACATACATATGTATATGATGTATGTGTAGGTATATACACACATTTACATACGAACATGCGTACAGACAGACATAGACAGACAAACCGATTGACAAATTGCCGTGAGATTTTACATTAATGATGGTAGCAATAACAACACCAGTAGTAAACAATACTAATACCAAGACTAATAACAAAGTAATACTCAACTAATGAGAAGAATAGAAACCATGCTGATACTAGGAATAAAGTAATAATAGTAATAATAACAACAATAACAATAATAATAACAATAATAATAATAAATATAAATATAAATATAAATAAGTAATCATGACAGCCATGGAGCCGCTCCTCCGGTCGGCCCGGGGCTTCCAGGGCTCCCCGGAAGGCGGCCAGGCCGGCAGCAAGGCAGGTGTTCACGTAGCCTGTAGCAAGGTTCAGGTGAGGTTTATGAGGATTCAGGACTCAAGGGTTTGAGGACTTGAGGGCTTAGGGTCTAGATCCTGTGACGAAGAGAACGAAGCATGGCAAGGCAGCCACTGCTACCAGATCTGCGACTGATGCAAGTTCCGACCGTAAGGCGATCAAGCCCCCAAAAAACTCTACGATCTCGACATCTCTGGCTACTCCCCGCCTAGTGTGTCAGAAGCATCGGTGACAGGCATCTCTAGCCCACGCATAGCTGCCCGAAGCTCCTAGGAACGAACGAGCTTCGTCTCTTTGCGTCATGTTCTCTTGGACTCCCTGTGTATCTGTTAATGGGTGTCTCTGCGCACAGACTTCTTGCATAGACTGCGGACCATTCATCTGACATCTATATCTAGCTTGCGGGAGGTATCAGTGCCGGAGGTGACCAGAGTGTGGCAATTCATACTTGCATTGATTGAAATGCATGTATTTGTGTAGGTACGCATATGGCCGTACATATCTGTATCTACAACTATATGTGTAAAATCATGGGTATCTACATATACATCCGTGTATCTGCATAATAAGCTATATAATTTAGTTATATAATGTGGCCCGAATTATGTTTCTATGCATGTACTTACGCATGTATATACGTGTATGTATGTATGTATGTATGAATGAGAGTGAATGAATTAGTGAATTAATGTATGTATGTATGAACTAATAAATGTATGTATGTATGTATGTATGTATGTATGTATGTATATATGTATGTATGTATGTATGTATGTATGTATGTAGGTATGTATGTACACACACAATATGACGCATGCATACCGCCTATGTATGTGCTGTGCAGGTGCAATAGAAGCGTCAGATCACAGGAGCGTAAGCACGTATAGCATCATTACAGGTATGATTATATTTAGTTGTGTATATATATATGTTTTCTGGTATATGTATGTGTGTACATTTTTCTTCACCTACGGCAGTTGTGCTATAGGAATAGGTGTATGCAAACCAGCAATCATGTGTGTATGACGACATCCACAAGCGGCTCGGAAAGTTCATGAAACGCATACCAGAAAACACAAGCTCAGAACACTAAACAAGACATAAATACATGTGCATCTGTATGCCGGCGTGTATTGTATGTGTGTATATATATATATATGCAAAAAACACACCGTGTGAGAGAGACTGAGATTGAGCCTGAGAGTGAGTTGGGAGAAACGAGAACCTCTGAACTATCGAAGCTCTACAGAGCCAGAACAATACGAGAACCCTCAGTATAAAACATTCAATGCTACCTTAAAGAAGCAAGCTACGAAGGCGTCGAACTTCTCCTTACTCACAGCACATTTGGTCTCCCCTTCCGGCTCCTTCAAGGCAGGGGCCTGCGTGTAAGCCCGGCTGCGCGCCTGAGGGGGCATGCAGAAGAGAGCCGTGCTTGGATTCACTCTGTGAGGTTTGGGCAGGATTCAGGGTCTGGCGTTTGTAGGGCTTTAGGCACAGAGGTTGGAAATGGAGCTTTGGAGCATGTCTGTAGTAGCGCAGGACGAACTCCGGATTCGCAGCCGAAACCTTCAAATTGAAAACTCGACTGTGCGACTCCGCGTTTGTTGAAGTGTTCTAACCCGTACCTCATTCCTTAAGATCCTACGCTTCGAAAGGCCAAACTTCGATCAGGTCCCGAGTCCTTACAACTCAAATCTCCAACAACAGATCCAAATTCCAAAAGATAATTCTGAATCCGAAGCCCAGCTCGCTGAACTCATCATCGAGATGCATCCTGCTCACTCCAGGCCACGCCGAAACCAGCATGCACCGTCCCTGCGCTGACAGAGCCCCGGCATGGATAACTTCACAAAGTCGTCCTTTCCCACACCTACGACACGAGAACTACTATGACACTACACGTCAATAACCGCAAATAGCAAGAGCCATACGGGTAAACTACCGCGTTTCAAGGGTTTCGGCTACCAGTGTCACCCTAAATCGCTCGCCATTGCACCTCGAACCTGTATCGTCCTCAGTGATAATCTCCTTTTGGTGCCCCAATAGGGTTCAGAACCCCCAGGCCCGACACACCTTGACCCTCCTCTGGACGGCTTGCGCCACAGGCGTCGCAGGTGGTGGCATCTGGAGGATTCCTGGAGGGCTTCAGGCTTCCGAGTTTGTCGGCCTTGCTTTCCATGTGCTCCAGGGCTCGGGTTTCCGAATACATATGGAAACCTATAGTGTAATGCTACAAGAGAACTTCGTGGCTTCGCCGGTTGAGGTTTCGGGAGGAATCTGGACTTAAAGGGATGTGGGACCAGGGGTCCTCAGCTTGCAAAGGAATTCACTTCACTGTTCTGCCATGCCATGTCCGGACAAATCTACCTAAACCCTAAACCCTAAACCCTAATCCCCTAAACCCTCAACCCTAAGCCAAGAGTCTCCAACGTACAGAAGCTGCAAGACCACACTGCCGGAGGGAGCGGGCCTGGACCAGCTAGAGGTCTGCATGCAGAGCGTCTCAGGGTGCACGGCTTAAGGCCCACGAAGGCTTTACAGCTGTAGTTGCTAGATGTTGCTGAGATTTTGAGTGTTTTGCAACCCGGAAACTGGTTTCTTTGGTGTGCTGCTGGCCATGCGAGCTACCACAGGAACCACCAGAGCAAGACAAAACTCGGAAACCGATGACAAGCACAAGAGTCGGACTGTCATGGACAAATTCGCCAAGTGATGGGAAATGAATGATAGCGATGACTGTGGATAAAAGGCGTACTGATGCAGGTTGTCATCCTTCATTGCATGAACATCATCTTCGCGTACATCCGCTGTGACTTCCTACCGCCGCCTGGTGCAAACAGCTCTGGCCTCAATACGAGCACCTCTACAAAATCTTGGGCACGCATGCCCGTCCAGAATCGGGTCTCGTGGAATTTCTACCAGGTGTAAGGTCCATAAATTGTGAGACAGGCACTTTGCTGAGAAAGCAGCCAAGGTGCCGAGTGCATCCTCATGCGGAAGATACCGCTCAGCGGAGGCGCCTGGGTGCTGGTATTTTGGTTCGCTCATACCGAAGTCGATGCGTGGAAGCTTTGCCCCACTATAACGACTGGATGCCGAGACACAAGCCTGCGATAACATGGTCTCAATGCCTCATGATGCAGCAGATGATAGGTTTTCAAGTCACGTTGCTAGCGCACCGATACTGTTACACAGCTTTCTGCCGAGCAAGAGTTTAGGCTTTTGCGATGCCTGTGCCAGATATCAGGCCATCCTCTCTCTGGAGCATGGCGGCGACTAGCTCGGCCACGGCCACGCAAGCTGCAGTGGACCTGCTTGCATGATCCCTGCTTTAAAAATTGTAGGGAACCACAGCGAAGTTCCTGGACAGAAAAGGAGGGACAGAGGGAGAGACACAGAGACCTAGCAACCGTGAACCCTTGCCATTTAACACCCGACACCACTGAAGCAAAAAGCGCTCTTTTCTGATGATCCCACTCTCAACAGCTTCAGCGTAATGAATTCCTGTAATAGTCTTTCAACACTAGAAGCTGAAGCTCCCGACCTGGGATCCGCATGCGTCACTTCTGCAAGCGCCCGCGCGTCCTCGGCGGCGCATGCGCAGCCTCCAGGCTCCGGGGTCATAGGGACTCCGGGCTGCTTGGGGTCAGGGCTTGGGAGTTGGGTTGTGGAACTTCGGGGGATGTAGGATAACCATAAGCTTAAGAGTCTTGAAGACCGCTTAGGATCTTCAAGGAAGAGTCGGCAACTACAAAGTCTTCGGGCTTCGATACTTGCGCGAATTGTTGTTATCAGCCAAACTGAATCGAAAGCGACGACCACGAAACTCACGACGATGATGACAACGACTGGCTACTTACTACAACAATGAGAATGACGCACCCCCTGGCCCACATCCCGCGACGGCCCGCAAGCAACCAAAACCATCGCTCAAAGCTGAAAGCCCCTGCAGTCCGCAACCTTGAAGAACATTCCTCACCAACTTTAAAACCCATGCCTTCACATTTTCCTCGATAAACAGCCTTTTCACTTCTGGGCCTCGAAGCCCGGTGGCTGCTGACCGCATCAGGGCCCCGTTCCTGGAAAATCGAACGTCGTTGATCTGGTTTTGAACTGCCAAACGGTTAGTTGCTTGCTACTAGTAGCTCGCGGTGTGGCTATCACTATTGTGCGCAGAATCGCGGCTGCTTTTCCTTCTTGTTGCCATGTGCGTGTTCGAAAAACGGCGACAACATTCTTAACAAGCCTGTGCCAAGAGAACTTTTGCAAGCTTCGGCAGGGCGCTCTTGCCGCGTTGCTGCTGCTCTGCGTTAGTGCCAAAAGCGAAAATGTCTCTAAATGCGCTGCACCAAGAATGCCACATTCAAGAGCATCGGCCCCATGCTTCGGCTGCAAACCCTCATCGTATACCTCATGACTGCTAGCAACGTCCATGATGTTTTCCCCTACGTTCTAGCTCACCCCTATCCCCAACACAAGAATCGCAACCTGCAACATCTTGAGCTGCAACGCGTACAATCCTGCTGCTTTCGTACCCACAATCAAAAAGTCCAATCCGAGCCAAAGTTGCAAGACAACCGGCGGTCCCTAACAGCAAATGACCAACCGCTGGCAAATGAGATGCCCATCCCCCACAAGCCCCGCAAAGCTGAATGTTCAAGGCTCGGAGCCAACGATCGACCCAGAAGGTCCCAAGCACGCCTGACACTGCTGCGACACTGTGTGAGTGTGTGAGGAAAGGAACAGGAAGAAGAATGAACAACTATCAAATTCCAGTCCCTAGTACTCGTGCTAGTACAAGCACCAGCACTAGTAAGTAGAAGCAACTGCTATAGTGTGCTCGTGGTCGTCCTAGCCTTAGCCATCATCCTAGTCCTTCCCATCCACTGCAGGAGTAGGCAAGTCAACTAGAATATCGGCAAGGTAGCCGTATCCAAGCTGTTCTTGACTTAGTGAACGTCTATGGACAGTCTGTTGCTTCAAAGTTTCGGTCGTGTTGAAAATCGATTACCTTTCTATTGTTTCAAAGCTTGCGCACCTGTAAGATCCAGTTCGGACTTCTACCTCCACACAACACATCAGTGCCATATGTCAGTCCACAGGTATGTTAGACACAAACTGTTCTAAGGACAGTCTGTGAGTCATGCAGTCCAAAATAGCTTGAAGCCTCTACAATGAAGTTGACTGATGACTGAAGAATTGCACAGGACTGTGGACTGCAAGACTGCGACTGCGACTGCATGCATGACTACTACTACTACTACTGCTGCTGCTGCTGCTACTACTACTGTTACTACTACCACTACTACTGCTACTGCTACTAGTACTAGTACGAGTACTAGTACTAGTACTGTACTAATTCGACGACCACGGCGACGGCGAGCACTACAACGACCGTGGGCGGCGGTGCTACTGCTCGGACTGTTGCCAAACTCGTCGAAGCATCCAAATACGAAACAATCCGAAGGCCCATAACAACCCCAAACCCCAAACCCTAAAACCTAAACCCCAAAGCCTAAACCCTAAGCCCAAACTCGGAAGTTGAAAACGCCCCTGAGTCCGTACAGATCCCCCGAGCCCAGGGGCCGAGCTGCGTCTGCAGGCCGTGCCAGAAAGGTCGGCTCATCGAGTACGCGAGCCGTGCTCCTTCCGGATGCAGGGGTGCAGGGAGTTGTCGAGTTCCCCGGGCTTTGGGTTCGAGATTTAAGGTGTTCAGTGCGGCTTGTGCATGGTAGGGGTGTAGATTGACTACCATGCCGGTGCGCGTGGACAGCAATCAAAGCGCCTCCCCATGCCGCAGCCGCCTGTGTCACCGAGCTCCTGAGCTGAGGAACTGCGCCCAAAGTTAAGCAAAACTTCGGCTGCAAACAAGCCGTTGATCATGAGTCGTGATGCAGCGACGTGCATAAAACGCATACTTAGATGCAACCTGGTCTTACATATATGCTTTCCATGGAGTACCATGGCTTGATGATGCCTAGAAGACCCTAAACCCTAAACCCCCAAAACACCTGAACCCCCCAAGGTTCTGAGCCCTTCCCAAAGCCCAAGGTGCCGGGAAGCCGACTTTGTGCCTCGGTCTTTGGAGAGGTTTAGGGTCTTATTGGTTTAGGGTTTAGGAGAACTCGCAGGAGAAGTGGGAAAGATAGGGATAGCCTTGAAGTTCCGTTTGAAGCTTTCGGGGCTCTTGAAAGCCTCTTGACTATGGCTTTCGCTATGTTCGGTTTCATCCAAGGGACGCCAAGGCCAGGAATTTCCTACTGGCAAGATGTACGGGCTAGATCTTCTGTGCATCATCATCCTCCTCATCCTCCTCATCCTCCTCATCATCATCCTCATCATCCTCATCATCCTCATCCTCATCCTCCTCATCACCATCATCATCATATATATATGTATATATATATATTTATGTAGATGTATAAAAAATATACGCATACATACACATGCATTTATTCCTTTCTTTTCCTATATATGCATGCGTCCATCATCATCCTCGTCGTAGTCATCATCATAATCACCACCATCGTCATCATCCGTATCATCAAGGATGCATTGCTACAGGCACTCTCGTTCTGCTTGGGCACCAGCTCACCAACCGTTCTGCGAACTCCGTGGGTTCGGGTGGTCGCAGTGACTCTCCGCGGACAGCCGGGAGCAAACACCTCCGAAGTTAGGACAGTATTATTGTTCGTAGAAGTATTAGAACTAGCCCTAGTATTAGTACTAGTAGGGATTTAAGCATAGGGCCGGATCCAGATGCCGATTGGAATCTCTTCAGTTTACCATCTGGAGCCGTGTCTGATCAGAGCGGATTTGGGCCCGTAGCTTCTTTGTACCATATTATTCGACATGGTCTCAACTCGACAGCGCGGCCTCAACACCAGGATCAACTGATCCGTGTCATCTGTCCAATCCTGAGTGTGTGGGGAACAGATCCGGTGCATGAAACCGAGGTGCCCTCGCCGGAACGTGCGGCAGACCCGGATTTATACCAACATAGCAAAAGCACAAAAATCCCGTGAGAACTCAACATTGATCACGCACAACCGCATCTGTCAAGATTCGCCAGCCCGCCACTTGCTGCGATGGCCGTCTTGAACAGCATCTCCAGGTCTCAACCAGGGGTGCTGACCATGTGCCTGCAGTCACGCAGCTGCGCGAACGAAGCTCAGTCCATCCGACTGCTGCCAAATCTTCTGCACTGCTTGGGGTTTAGATGTCATACAGCGAAATCGCACTTCTGATCAAAGGCCACGTCGGAACGGCTTTGAAGTCGAAGCCTACGCTCTGCAAGAACCCGTGGACTCCCATGCAGAGGACCTCAGAGTCTCCGGGAAGCCTGGCCTTCCGGTCCAGCAACAGCGGCTCGTAGGCAGCTTTGGCTTCGGCTGCGGTCATGAACCTTCAAGACGGGCTCGGACTGGGGTGTGCAGAGTGCAGACTTTAGGGATTGTGGCAAGTCCGGGGCGAGGTTGAACACGCCAAGGATGCACCGAGATCCGGGGTCTGAGACCCAGGCTCCGTGGCCAAGCCGACGGCATCGCCCAGAGCGCAGCCCAGCACCAAACCCTTGACACGATCCTCGCCAAGCAATGCAAGCTCGGAATTTTTATGGCCGTCTTGCAAGTAGGCGGGTGGCGTCAATAGATGCTTTGGGTTGCAACTTCCGAGACCGCGGGAGTCAACCTTCCTTCTGCCCTTGACAATGGCGACGGCTACGAGCTGAACGCAAGTCGGACCGTGGACTCTCCGACCTGACCTGGGCCACACAAGGCCAGGACCGACACTCCAGCACCCTTTAGTCACTGATCATCCCCATGTTCCATCCTTCTCCTGGACCACTCATATGACACGACCGAAGCCCAGGTACTGCCAAGTCGCCGCTTTGTCCATGGAGCAGCCCGCATGCCATGGCGTTGTCACTGGAAGTTCCGGAAAGCCACTGCTAGGGCTGTGGCTCTTAAGGCTTGGGATGTCAAGGGTCTCCACTGAGGCTTGCTGACCGACAAACAGTTCCGCGTAAGGCAGGTTGCAAAGGCAGCTGTGGTGTGGAGGTTCAGGTCCCGCCTTTCAGAGCCTGACCTGCCCTGAAAGCCTAAGGTGCGCGGCTCCTGTGATGAAATCAGATAGAGACCCCAAGAACAACAGCAAGAAGGTCAAGGAGTGAAAGGGTCGTTGCGACCCGAAATCCAACATTCCGCCAGCTCGACAGTGTATACATATATACATATATGTGTGTATATATATATATATATGTGGATATGGATTGTCACCATAAAACAAAAGCCCGACTTGGCCTGAATAAAGCCGCCCCTGGGACCACGCTATGCCCAGCAACCCCATGATCATACATAACAGCCCCAGAACAACCGCACACCGACTAAATCGACAAAACCAAGACGAAGGCACGAATCACAAAACCTCTCCAAACTGGTTAGTTTCTGGTGCCCAGGGCAGCCCTGATGCCGGAAAGCAGCTATCCCGAGTCCCGAGCCCCCCCGAACCTATTCATACCTAAGCCTCTGCAGCCCGAAAATCCACACAAAAAAAGGGGCGGAAGAGCCCTATAAACCCTAAACTCTAAACCCTAAACCCTAATCCGTCCCTGTGGGCTTAGGGTGGCTGAGCGCGGTGCCAAGTTTTGCAGAGCCTCGACGATGGACTGGCGGATCGGGAGCCTCGACAGCCACTCTTCTTAGGGTTTATAGGGGTTTAGGGTTGATAAACTCAGAATGGGATTGAAGTGAGTGCTCGGGTTTGAAGCCTTGAGAGTCTTAGGTTTGTGCTCGATGCGTGCACAGGCTGAAGAAGGAACGTCTGGAGGAAAGGCTTCGGCAGGACGAGCTTGACATTGCAGTCTGCTACATGGGCGAGGAAGAACGTTAACGTATGAGGCCTACAAACTGAACTCTTCCCCAACACAAGCTTTCAAGACCCTCCTCACAATTGCACCCACCCCCCCGTACCCGTTGCACCTTAAAGCGGCCATGCACGCTTGAAACCTTCATCTAGGCCGGCCCTAAGTCGACGAGGTGCCAGAAGTGGTCCGCTGGCTCCGTGCCCAGGAACTCCACGGCCTGTGCAGCCAACCTGGGCTTCTTGGCCGGAGGGGTCTCAAGATGCGTGGCTAAAGGGCGCCCGTCTATTCATCTATGGGCTATAGGCTTACCATCACTACCACCATCACGGTTTCAAGCTTTGTGGGGGTCTAGACGGTTTACAGGGGATTAGGATGTACACAAAAAGAGAGATGTGGTCAAAGTCTTCGAATGGCTGAGCCATTGTCTTCGGGTTTGGAGTTTGAGGGTCTTGGGGCTCAGGGCTTCAAGAGCTCTGAGGTTCCGGTGCAAAGCATTTAGGCACCAAGAGTTTATGGTTTCTGCATTTCAATTTGAAAAAGTTGAAAGAGAACTTAGAAGCTTGTAAAGATTTCCCATGACATCTGTCCGGTCCGAGAGTCTCTGAGTTTGCCTGGCATGCTTTGATGAAGGCAGGCGCCACGGCATTGCGGCGGCGAAGGTTCTCCGGGGAGCGATGCCTGAACTCACTCACTAGGCTTTGAAGGGTTTAAGGCTTAGGTTTATGGCGCATGAGATGTACGCGAAATCACTGACAAACAGTAGACATGGAAGCCAAGGCTCTCGAGACTCTAGACGTTTCGAAAGGAGAGCCTTCGTCCAAAACTTTAAATCTCGACACCCCAAGCTCAAATAGCCCCAGGCTATTAGGACAGGAGGCAAATCGGCTCTGCTTGCCGTCAGGTGAAACGGTGCCTGGATGGCAAAGCGAAAGCCCACCTCAGGTGGATGTTGTGCCACATTCACTGATACGCAAAATGTTGTTCGCTACATTTGCAATATCATTTTCTACTGCGTTGTCTTATGTGAATCTTCTACGAGTAGGTTTAAGCAATCCTAGGTCTTTGAATATTCGGAGCTGCAACAAAGAAAAAGCAGGGAAGGTTCATGGAGCTGGGACAAGGACAAGCCAAGACGCTGATCGCACAGGAAGAAAGGCGAAGACACGTTGAGGGGGCGGCTCCTCCACTTTCGGAAGTGCCACCAGGACGTCTTCGTGGCTGCTGATCTGGAAACGTGTTGTAACCTCTTCCAGCAGTACTGGGGGCTCGCTGCCCATCTGCTGGAAGCGCTGGCGCGTGGTGGCAGCGCGTGGGTCTTGTGAGCCCGCCACCATTATTCTGGCCCAGGCATCTGCAAACTCTTCGGACTCCTCCTCTGCTGCCCAGTCGCCCTTCAAACTGATCTCTGTGACCCGGCGCAAGAAGAGCAGCTGTGCCGAATCTGCCTGGATGGTCTGCATCTCTGTCCGAATGCTCGGCACGGATTTGCTGGGGTCGGACAAAGGCAAGTAGAAGACCTGAGATGCCACATGTGCAACAAGCCGGATCGCCCCCATGCTGAGTTCCTCGTTGCTCTATCCGCCAGAACACGGACACACTTTCGCATGCACGAGTATCACCAGCATCCCTCAATCGGCGCCCATGACTGCGTGTAGCTGTCACAAGATGTCGTGCTTACGGCGCCCCACGTCGCGCTTCTCCTCTATCCCTCTAGCCGTAAATTTAAGGAACCCAGAAGGGAAACCGAAACTCCTAAACGGAGCCTGAAACCCCCAACCCGTCGATGGCAGGAACAAAGCTGTTAAGGCGCTGTGTCTCCTCGGCTATGTGCTTCCCGTACTTCACTGGGTAGCATGCTAACCTCGGAGTCCTCCATGGGGTCGGCAAGATGTATGCAAAAACTTACGGGAATAATGCTACAGCCAGCAGGGGTGTTGAAGCTGCATATCGGAAATCGACTTGCTTGGCCATTGCCAGCTAATAATATGACCTTCTTACGCAATGCAGAATTCAAACAACTCCCCGGGAACGAAGTCTGTTTATGTGGTGCTGTGTGTAACAGTGTCTGTGTATAAATAACAAACACTTTGTGCAGGCACATGTGCAAATGAATTAGCCCCTCCCTTCCACAGAAAACGACAAGTCACTACATAGCCATGCAGGTAGTCAGTTATAGACTGTTGTGTACTTGAATCTCTGCATGTTTAGCAAGCCTGATCATAGACATTGGTAGATAGATAACCAGTAAAGTCGTGATTAGCAGGTGGAGAGATATAGACACATGCCGGTCGATGCGGTGTCGTGAGGCCCATAAAACGGATGGCCCTGAAACTGGACGTTTCTGCAACGTTCCGCTTCATGGCTCCCGGAATCCCAGCTCCTCCAGCCACTGCGGCGTGAGCCTGGGTTTGGTGATCATGAATTTTGAAAATGCGCCCTCTTTCGGCTCTAGTGTTGCGTAGGGACACTCAGCCAGCTAAGGGGGTGTGACGAGTGTTCCTCTTGCTTTTCTTACGATTATCAATCGCCGCTACAGTTAGTACGACTGCTACTCTTGTTTTCCAAGTGTTACTCATGCTCGGGTGACATGCTTGCCTCAACATTACAAAGCCTCGTGAAACTCGCTCGGCGACTACTTATATTTGAAATATGCGGATTTTTAAATACCTAACTCTTAACGTGGCTCCGGGGCCTTGGCCGCCCTCCACTTATTTAAACAACTTCACAGTTCACTTTAACTAAGGCTGCAAGTTGCGCCTCTGTGGGTATCGCTGGGGCGCCAGTCTAAGAGTTGAGTATGTCCTGAACCCTTAATCGAGACCACAGGGCATGCCCAGTCCCGCAGATGAGAACTTGAAGCGCCAGCCTTGCGAAAGAACCTGCAAGTCTTCGAGGCATGCTTACATAAGGGGCCTTTATCGATCGAGCAGTACACTTTCAAGTATGAAATACGGAGATTTGTAATTGGACGTCAGCCATCATATTAGTTGCGGAAGATCCTAGAGATAATCATGCGACCAAGTGAAGACCAAATTGGCATCTACATGGTTCAAGAGTTTGAACACCGCGAACCCCACCAACTCGGTACTGTAGACCTGCGATAGAGAGTCAAGGCAAACTTGTTGAACTCTTGAGGGTTTGGTAGAGCAGTGCTCATGCACTTGGTTCAGTTTTTGGATGGAATAAGAGTGTACGGGGAATTTTCGTCTTGCCAGTTTCGAAACCGAGACACGTGCGGCTCGTCGGTGACGCGAAAGACAGACTTCCAGCCGACTCCCTTGTAGCCAGTAGTTGTCCCGGTCGCCTGCTGAGATGTGGAATGGAAGCTTAGACACCGGATGTCGGCTTTGGAAGGGTTACAGGGCCGTGCGGCCTCAAAGAGTGGCAAGCTGTCAGAAACTCTAGGAAGAAGGGCAGGAAGAGGTCACGAAGCTTCCAAAATGTCAGGCAGCCCTGTAACTAATATGACTAGCAAGATGCTGGGGTCTCGGGGTCGTGTTGCTGCGCATCGTGGCTTCTCTACGTCACCCCTGATCTCATCAACAAACCGACAGTTTGTTGACTGAAACGTTTACGGATCTGCTTCAGAAAAAACACGCGAGATGAGAATATGCATGACAGTGGAACTTCAAGTGTCTGGACAAACCACCACCAAAGGTTCTGAAAATGCTCCTATCGTTCTGCAGCGCAAATCCTGCAGCGCATCCCCAAATTTTTGGTCGCACCTGGGACTTGGAAGATCGGGAAATATCGCAGAGTGCTCGCACGTCTGCCTCTCGCTCAGCTGGTGCTGGCACCCGGAAGCTCAACGGAAGCAATGTTCGCTTCATTTGCTAAATTGAGGCTTTGGGATGGACGCTTTGGGGCCTTCGTCCGCAGTGCAGCGTTTGATGCAGAATTTCACTTGCGGGGTTCGGGCATCGCGTGCTGCACTAAGAGCTGTCAAAATGTGTAGAAGGGTTCAGCTGCAATTCTGTTCATCCCTTGAGGCGCAATCAGCTCGCTGGCACACGTAGTGTACTACGGCACATTGAAGCATCACACATGCAGGCACATGCTCAACATCTCCGCTCCTCAGTCAGCCCCTTCTCGTTGTTCGCCTTACTGAACGATGCTTCGTGCACACTTGCTCGGGCTCTTCTAGCTGCCTGCAACATTGAGGCGCGAAGGAGTCGCAGGCACGAGAGACAGGTTGACCGAACTCCCTCTGCGAAAATCTCAAAGAGCTGAGCAGCTGAAGGCACACTCCTTCAATGTCGTCTCAAGCTACAGCCGAGCAGCTGCAAAAAAATACGGTGGATGTTCCGACGCTTCCGGTGGCCTGCAGCACCAGCCAGTGAGCTTGCAAGCTTTCTATTCTACTTGACCTCCAGCTGTTCACTGGACAGTTGCAGGGTTTTGGTGCCGGTTTGGGGTTCAGCATGAACTATGAACGGATTGATCCCCACGCGCTCGTGGCCCGTGGTACTGCTCCGGATTACCGTGGTCTTTGCTGCTCTTTCGGCTCATTTTAACAAACGCACCAAGGCCGCAGGTCTCTTTGCGGACCCGCTCGTCCTGCGCAGCAAAATCGGCAAAGCTAACCCGGGCTCTCAACTCTGATACAAATCTCGAAACAGCTTCGACCGTAAACAGGCTCATGACTCATACTGGGGCTGACAACCATGGGCATTCCGCCGAACATGAGAAAGCCGCTCATGGATGAAATGTACAGAAGGCCGACGGCAATGATAAGTTTTCGATGTCATTGCGATGAGGACGACGATCATGGCGGAGGTGACGATGCCAAGGGTCCCAATAATGGAGATGCTTGCGAACATGACGCGAACGAAGAACGAGTTGCTGCTGCTGTTGCTGCTGTGGTTGTGTCATGTCGCTGCTGCTGCTGGTGCTGGTGGTGTTGTTGTTGCTGTTGCTGCTGTTGTTGCCTTCGTTTTTATTGCTGGTGGTGGTGGTGGTGGTGGTTGTGGTGGTGGTGGTGGTGAAGTTGGAGCACAATCCAATAGCACCTTGTAAGCACGTTAAACGCCCGCGCAAGCAAAGTCCGAGTCATGCCAGTGTTCAACAAAACCAACTGGAGCCCTTCGGAGCACCTGCCCCTGAGGACCAGATTGATCCGCGGCTGCACACCCTCCCCGTAGCTGTTGTCGTCAGCCTCACCGAAGCATGGCTGATGGTCGAAAGGGTTCAATCTGATGAGCCCCACATATCATGAACTCAGTGCCAGACATTCTGGAGAAGCTCCTTTCATGGAGCCGATCTGAAAAGTTTGACAGCTGCACGTCAATTCAATTTCCCTGCCAGCCTCAACTGCAGAAAAATTCAGAAATGCTGAGAAACTCCTCCTTCACATCAGTCCATCTGCCAATCTGCTCTCTGCTGTGCTATAATTGCTACCCAGGCTGAGTGCTCCCACTATAGCTGGAACTTAGTAGTGCTCGCAATTTTCAAGACGTCTTGTGACATAGGTCACGCCACTCTTAACGTTCAGCTTTCTAGACTTTGCGCTCTTACAGGCCGTTGCTTGTGTACTTATATATAACGTACACATACACACAGAGGAATACATTCTGATGTGTATGTTCATCTGTATCCTCCTGTCTGCACATGAAGCCCGGTGGGCTTCTGTCCAGTGTGCTGCCGACTCGTCTGGCCATGAGAAACCCTCGGTAAGGACACCGAATACAGGAAGTCCCATCCCGAAACCACGGTCCTGTACAAAGTGCGCCTGCGATTCGTAGAGGTCTTTGGCCTGCAATCCCGGTAGGCTCGCTACAGGCTCTCTACATTATCCACCGAAGCGTCCGCCTGTTGACGGACTGCAGTTGGAGAAAGGCCGCACGACTCGCACAAGTCGACAATCGAGGTTGGACATACAAGATCCTTGTGCTACTAGAAGGCGACAGCATGGTGAGGTGTGTTGGAGCATAGTCTGGATGAATGCTCTTTGCACCTGAACATACCAACACCTGCAAGTTGTGTACAACACAAGACACACCGCTGAAGAGAATTTAAGAACAGTAAAGGGAAAGACTGCAAGAAAAGCAGTGCAATTAAACTCAAACAGCGCATGGCTCCGTGGAGGTCGTGATTCCATCCTCAATCATCCTCCTGCATCAGGGATCCCCTTATGAGGCGACCTTGCCGGAACTGAATTCAAAGCGAACTCTTTTCGTTAGGAAGGTTTATAAACGTCTCTGGGGTCCTGGCCAAACGATCCACTGCGGCTGTCAGTGAGCGACGCATCTCGGCCACGCCGCGACGCAAGCCCTGGAATTTCGAATGTCCAAGTTTCAAAACGGCAAGCAAGGGGACCCAAAGTAGGTTAACGTGGCAAGCATCGTGTCGGACAGGATTAAGTTGATCGGGATTTTTGGTATCGCTCCAAATTGAAAGGCATGGTTATCAATAATCGCTGTGTGGTGGCAGAAACGCCTCGGTCTTGAATTAAGAGTTCAGCTAGCGACGCCTGCTCACATGTCCCTCAACTTCGGCTTAGGGCATGGAGACCATGGGCCATGATGTCGATTGCGATATGCCGACAAGTTTGTAGTTAAGTATGGCACAATAATTGTTGCGGGACTTGGTGACCCGGAGTTGCAGGGTCCTCTTGAACCCTCCGCGTTGCAGCAATCCGTGATCTCGAGATCCGTAAATCCCACAATGCACTCCTAAACAACTCTCACACACAACACCCTCAAGCAAAGTCACGACAGAACAACAAACCTACAACAACCCAAACCAGAATCCTCACACTTAAAACTCCACAAGGAGCTCCAAAACTCTCTTGGGGCTGCGCTGCTGGAAGCTCTTCCAGCTCCACACCGACTAGCCTTGCCTGGGAGTGTGTCCGACTACTTTGCTAAGATTCTGGGTTCTTGTTAAGGGATTTAATAGGGATCTATAGTATTTAATATGGTTTCCTGATTATGGTAACTTAAATTAAATCCCTTAACAAGAACCTAAGATTTTCTTTGGGGCGTTGCGGTTCCAGGGCTTAGGGTTCGTAGTGCTCTAGTTAGGGATGCAGGATTTAGAACTTGGGGCTGTGAGGTTCCAAGTGGCTGCTTGGGGCTAGAAAGTTGGCGCTGACAGGCTAGGGCTTCGGTTTCGCTGCCATGTTCCAGTTGATTGCCTGTGGCCAAAGCTCACAACAGCAGTCATGCACATGACCGCCACGTTCAAGATCGCAGGATGGGCCCGATCCGGCCCAATCAACTAAAATGGACACTGGCCTCTTTGGTGCCTATCCCCCACTCCAGAGAATCTGCATCTTGCAACCATGGGCACTCGTTACACCAAACAGCAGGATGTCGGGCGAATCATTTCGGGCTATATGTTTTATCAAGGGGGCCCTATAAACCCTGAACACCTCTGCCTCTCAATGGTTCCGGGACCCGGGACCTTGGCCTGGCTATGGCCCAGACCCTGGCTTCATTGGAGTGTACGACCTCTTTGTCAATCGGTGTTGCTTACTTTCGGAACCTCGCCTTTGTTCAACGAATCCCGGAATTGTTTTCCATGTTATTAATTATTCGAATCTGGAAAGACATGCTGCACCTGTGAGTCAACTTGTAGGCCCCTATACTATACCCTTTGTAAGGGGCCTTAATGATTAGACTGATTAGAGTAGGGTTGTGGGGCCCATTATACTATCGAAAAACTCCCAGCCAACAAAAATGTTGATCGGCCCGCGGGCCAGCGGCCTTGCGGATATCCCGCACCACTGCTTCCTCGAGAGAGGCGCCGTCATCCGGGCCTCCTTCTGCGGCCTGCGATGCGTCTATTGCTGTTGGTCTGGGCTGAAGGGTATAGGATGGGTCGGCGTCTTTCCACATGAATTTAAGACTCTAGGGAATTTTAGGGTTAAGAGGGAGATGTTTCTCAAGAACCCGCGATCGCGGGACGCATTTCAGGCCCTCCTGGCCTGCCTGGATAGTGGTTGTTGCTGCATCTGGGACTGCAAGGGCTACAGGACTACCAAGATCGTGACGGCCTCAACGCACCTCTGGTTTTCAATTTATTCTCTGTTGGTAGCTTAGGCTACTGATGCCGTAGATTGTCAGTTTCAACCAAACGACGGTTGTTTCCGAAATCCCCACGACAGCCTTCCGAGGGAGGCAAGTGTTGTGTGCGTGGAGTTTAGCAACCTCTGGGAAGGGAACCCGGATGCAGCGCACAGTATAGAGCTAAGCAGTTTCATATCGGACGGGCGCAAAATGTTGTACCATGTTGTACCCATAGCAGTAGAAAGCAGTACATGGGCGAGGAACCACAACTACCTAACCACAACGACTGGACCACGACCACCACCTCTTCGCTCACCTGTCGAAGCTTGCCACAGTACCGAAAGCCAACCACCCCGACACCTCGCCTACAGTCAGTGGACCGCGCCGGAACCTAACTTCTCAACCCTGTAAACTCCCTGTTGGCCTAGTAAGCGGCCTCCCCCGTAAACCAAAGATCAGGATGCTGTCTTGTGCAAGATCGCAGCCTCTGCCGCCAGGCGACGCGCATCGGCAGGCAAAGCAAGCTCACCTGAGCCCAGACACCGAAACCCAAGAGCTCCATTACGAAGATTCCAAGCCGAACTCCAAGGTTAAAGAATTGAGCTTCGCACTAGCAACAAAGGTTGCAGCGTCCCCAATGCCAACCATAGCTTGAGATGGTATCGGTGCCTCACGCCCGAAACCATCCAGCATAGTTGCCGAGTGCCGGGCCCTCCGCATTTTCCGTCGCTGCTAACCTCCAGATGTGCTCATGGGAAACTGCTGGCAAGGCGACTATTCACACTTGCGGGAGCCAATCTCATTCATAATCAGCTGCCTCTTCCGCACTATCGCGCATGCAGCAGTTTGTGCCCGCTCAATTCAGTCTTTTTTATTGTGTCACTTGTGTTTTTTTCTGTGTCGCTTCTGTCTTTCTTTTCTGTGTCACTTGTGTCTTTTTACTTCTTGCGAAACAACAGTCTCGAGCGAAAACCTTTTTTTGCTAGCCGTCCACGGCTGGCAAAAAAAACTTCCAGGCTTTGGGCCTTCTTTCATCAGGCTCTCGGTCTGGGCTTTCTCCTTTTAAGGCTTTGGCCAGGGTTCACTCCTTTTAGGGTTTCGGGGTTCTTTCAAGCTTACCTTTTGCTTCTTTTGGGGTGTCGGGGTCCGTTTACTCCTTTTTCGGGTTTGGGCCTTCTTTCATTAGGGTTTCGGTCTGGGCTTGCTCCTCTTAAGACTTTGGCCTGGGTTTTAGCGTTTCGGTTTTCTTTCAAGCTTACTTTTTGCTTCTTCTAGGGTTTCGGGGTCCGTTTACTCCTTTTTCGCTTGGGGCCTTCTTTCATTGGGGTTTCGGTCTGGGCCTTCTCCTTTTAGGTTTTCGGTTTTTTTTTCAAACTTACGCTTCATTTTTTTGGGGGTTTCGGGGTCGGCTTACTCCGTTTAGGTTTTAGGATTTCGGCTTGGGCCTTCTTTCATTAG